AAACATTTGCTGAATCATAATTGAGAGGTAGTAGATCGACTGTCCTTGGCTTAGAGCTTCGACTTGTTGATCCCCAGTTATGGTATCGCCACGAGCATTTGTGAAATCGGGTGAACTACTGAGAAAATATGAACCATCTTTCTGCATAAAGCGCGCATCAGTTGGCGATATACCGTGGTGATTCAAGACAACAAAGTATGCCAATAACGCGAATAATGTTTCGAGAACTCCGACTTCTATGTAAGCGTAACTTAAAATATTCCAGTCAACAAGAACTTCTCCATCTCCGCTGAATTCAAACATCTGTTTCCACCATTCTATATTTGCAGGTTTTTTAAGTTGCGTAAAGAATCGGTTCACTTTGGAAGTTTTCCGAGGCAATCCTGTCTCAGGATCCGTAACAGTAGGTGTACGCAAGAGAGCGCGTCGACGTAAATTTTGTATGGTTTTCGGCGTGACTGGTCTTCGAGGAGCCAACTTCATCAATTTCGTAGCATCTTCTGGCTTGTCCCAAGCAAAGGACATGGCAATAAATAATTCGTAGCCCAAATCGATGAGCAAAATTTGAATGGCTGACAGAGGCAATGGCAGAGGGACGATAACAAATAGGAGCACAGCATAAATTTCTGGGGTCAAGTGAGTAATTACATACTGAACAGATTTCTTAAGGTTGATGAAAATTAGACGACCTTCTTCGATTCCTTTTATAGTAGACGCAAAATTATCATCCAATAATATCATAGAAGCAGCCTCCTTCGATACATCCGAGCCAGAATTATTCATAGAAATACCCAGGTCGGCTTTCTTGAGGGCAGGAGAATCATTCACACCATCCCCGGTTACTCCCACAATATGTCCCATGTTTTGAGCTCGCTTAACAATCTCAAGTTTGTGTCGAGGTGACGTACGGGCAAAAATAATTTCATCCTTGGAAAATATATTATCCCACTCAAAGTCGCTCAAAGTGTCAATCTGTTCTCCATGAATGACAATTGCTTTGTATTCCTCTTCATGAATGGAATCAATTGGTCGTCCAGTACGCTTTGCTACTTGCTCCTTTGTATCAGATAGCATAAGATTGGTTTTACGTGCAATAGCTTCGGCTGTTAGAGGATGGTCACCGGTTATCATTATAACGCGAATGCCCGCAGTACGACAGCGACCAATGGCTTCGCGGACGCCATGCTTTGGAGGATCTTCGAGAGAAACCACGCCAACAAAACACAGATTACCCAGTATGTTATCTACTTCATCCCTTGTGAAACTGTAATCGGCTGGATATTGACTGCCTGGTAGTGATAGCCGTGCAAAAGCCAATACACGGTGACCCTTCGATGCCATGAATTCGTATATATCGTGGAACTGTTCTTTATGTTCATCTGTCAATGGCACTGCTACGCCGTCTAAAAATATAGTGGAGCAAAGTCGAAGGACGCGTTCCGGAGCGCCTTTCATGTAGAGAATCAACTCGCCATTTGCGTGTTTCTTTTTGTGAATCGAAAGAGCCCATTTGAGGTTAGGGTTGAAAGGAATTTCGAAAACTGTTGGATAGGCATCGACGACTTCATCATAATTGGACACGTGTTGACTGGCAAACTGAACGAGACCAGTTTCCGTTGGAGCGCCGAGGATTTCACGCTCACTGAATGGGATATCAGTGCGATTGAATTTTACACGCGAACATAGGATAGAAATATTAACGATTTCTTGATTGCCGGCGGCTTCAGGGTCGAATGGTTCGACGGATTCATTCTGATGTTTGAAAGTCGTGTGTAACTTCGATTCGGACCAAATATAGGAGAGAAACATTCGACTTCTAGTCAAAGTGCCGGTTTTATCAGTAGCCAATAGAGTAATAGCACCTAATGTTTCCACGCTTTGTAGATCTTTGACTAATATGTTTCGTTTACCCATGCGCTTGGCAGCGACTGTGAGTAGCATCATTACCGTTGCTGGCAAACCTTGTGGTACCCAGGCAACTAGCACAGACATGGCAAAATTGAGAGAAAGAGCAATGTTGTTGTTGTATACTTTCAGACCGCAAAAGAAGAACACGACAGCAGAGATTATGGCAAGTCCTGATATAATTTTCACGAGGTCGTCAGTTTCGCGGGCCAATGGGGATCTGTTTTTCTTTTCTCTAGAAGTCAAGTTAGCAATCTGACCCAACACGGTACTCTCCCCAGTACGAATGACAATGCCATAGCCCTCTCCAGAGATTACAATTGTGCCATTGAAACAGAGGTTGGTGGCTTCTAGTGGATTTTTCTGAATATTGAAATTTGTTCGTTCTTGTGGTTCTGCTTCGCCAGTCAGGGAGGAATTATCTACTTTCATGTCTGTAGCAGCAAATAGGAGAAGATCGGCGGGAATTTTGTCGCCCATCTTCACAAACACCACATCTCCGCGGACAAGATTTGCAGCCAGAATTTGAACCAAATTTCCATCTCGTCGTACCATGCATTTTTGTGGAATCATATTCAAAAAGGACTCGAGAATTGCAGCAGACTTCTGTAGTTGGTAAACTTCGATGTAGGCGTTAATGAAAGCAACACCAAATAGAACGGCACCAAGATAGATCTAAAAGGTATAATAAATACATCGAGTTAGTCACACGTGATTAAAATTTGATTAGGATATGCCAAAGCATAGTAAACTTACGTTAGCCTTATTGTCTTTGAAATCAACACCAAGCACAGCATACTCAAAGATTGCAGCGGCAATTAACAATAAATTGAACGGGCCGCACAAACATTTCAAGTATCTAACGATAGGATGAGTTTTCTTTTGCGGCGCTAGAACGTTTTGTCCTTCTTCAATCACACGCTGTTTGGCGTCGTCAGTTGATAATCCATTTGAATTAGCGGGTTTAGAAATGTTGATGTTGACATTGTATCGACTGGCAACTTGTTCTGCGTTCAACAGGTGCTCATCCTAAAGAATATACTGTTGTTGGTTAACGTGTGACAGGCACGAAACTAGATTTTAAGAAGATTACTAACAATGTCAAGAGATTTGAATTTGGTGTTTGCCGATGATTGGTAGTCTTCTGCGAGTGTTCCAGAGTTGGAAGACGTTATAGTAGGTGGTTTTTCGGGGGTTTCGACCTCAGTAATTTCTAAAATATTACTACTAGTTTGCGACATATTTGGTGCATGCAATGAACGTAACAGAATATCTCGTTAAAGCTTATGTCTTATAAGTACGATCGTAGACAGCTTTTGATCTTTAAAGATGCCGTATCCATTGGGGACTACCATGGTTTATATCCTTTCCTCCCTCAGACATTGAGGCTTTGACAATATCTCTTAACGAGAATGGATACACGAGAGGAGCACGGGATGCGTGTGTGTTAGCGATAACAAAAACCAATCGGATGATGAGTGATTAACCATAATCTGTTACTGTTTACAGGTTACAACCTCCTTATTGCTACTTCTAAGTAAAGACGCTCCTTTGTGACCCGCGTTCTTGTATTGGAAATGGATATCAATCAAATTTTTTCACAATGTTGGACGCAATAATTTGGTTATTGGTTGTTATTTCTGATTGTTGGCTCTTTTCGCAAGTATATAGCAAATATTTAGACATTTTATTCGTTCAAGACCACGCAAACAACCAAAGATTATGTTGCTGGAATAGCATAAAAACATGTATTATTGTTGTAGCAACTTTACCAAAAGTATTCGATTGTCGCTATCTTTCCCATAATTAAAAGTATTATTTGCGCAAGGTTCCACTGAATGGGAATGGTGAACTGGTTGATATCAACGATATCGCGCGTTTTACCTGCTGTAGTGCAATATTCGACAATTATATTGGTATATCTTACCATATTTGTATTCAGTTTATAAAAAAAGCGAACCAAGGAAAACGGACGGTGTTGTGCTGCGAGGGAATCTATTAAAATGTGATACAACCATACAATAACCAAACAAATATTATCAGTTTGTTATGACGTAATGAGGTCTGTAACTGTGAATGTGAAAATGAGGAACAACAATAAGCCTGATTATTCCTCTCGAGACACATTATCTCCACGATCCAAGTTTAACAATACCAATTAAAGTGTGTTTTCTATCATCTGATATGTCACAAGGTCAGATCACTACGGAATTTGTCGCTTTTATCTGGCCATCACGCAGATCAGGCAAAAAATGGATTTATGAATTTCGGATTAAATTTAGGACATCGATCATCAAACACTGATAATCTCCTGATCCCAATATTGAGGCTGCTACCTGCTGCAAGAGCGCAATTATTCAAGAGATAACAACTACAACTTGCACAGACTCTTTGGTAATCAAGAATCTGATCAAGTGATTATCACATAATTGCAATTGCATATTAAAAAATACCTCTCACCAATCATATTAACTGCATAATCAGGCTATCAACTGTCAAAATAAGCACATTAGGCTGTGTGTTACAATATCAAACGATCGGAACTGACGTTACTAGTTAGCCGTTTACTGATGCAATAAATAACAATCTAATAAAGAACGTTTCTCGTGGAGAGTGAAACTGACCCAAACGCTGTTTACAGGAAGTCGCAATATTTAACTAGACTCGTATGTTCCCGGCCGGTCGTTTCATGGAATAATACGTTTTCATGCACTAAATCTCCGAAATCTGTGTAATGGACGATGAATGACCTCTTGGCGAGGTACAAAGTCTGTAACAATATCAACATTACCTGGTTACGACATGGTCCCTGTGACCTCACCTCGCACAATCGATTTCATCTGTCGCGAGTACCAGGTCCATAATAGTTTGTCAAGACTATAAAACGGGATGCAGCTGGCCAATCAACAGTCGTAGATAATAATAATTTCTCCGTTACATAGCTTACTCCATTTGGCAAAACATTACTCCTTCTATTTCTTGATTAGTGTATCCAATTCAGAAACAATTCGATTAGAAGATGCTATTCATTTTCAAAAAAAAATCTTTTTGCTGACCTCTTCAAGTTCGCAGACTAGTTTGTTAAAAACAGATACATGGTACGTTTTTCTAATCATACTCGCTTCCATATCATTTTTCAAACCACTTTGTGTAATTCTTAAAACGAACGCATTTATTCTTTCGACTTATTTTTACCATTTCATATCCCGATTCAATTTTTCTGTACCTTCAGTGTGTCCATAAAAATAATTTTATGATAGAATTTGATTAAACTGCACTAATTGTTGATAACGTCAGCATACGTGGATGTTTTCTGCATGCGTTTTACAGATAATCAATCTGCGGATTCACTCATGTATATCATACGTTTACACTGTATGAGCGGAAGGCCAATGCTATCATTATATTCTTGCTTACGAGACAGCACAAGTAATGTGAACAAACTTTGAGAAAAGTTAGAATTAAGTAGTCTTCGTTTCTGTGAATATTGGCTCACAGAACGGTTCCTGATCATCTTATCCATTCAACTTCGTACACATGCAGTAGGTTTTGGAAAAGATAGATGGCTTTAGGTTACAGGACCGCCCCTTTTTTGCTCATATTCTTTGTCTGTTTCGTTGTCCGCGTTCATGTTATAGATATTCTCATGTTTTTACACAAAACAAGTCCGAGTCAACACATTGAACACACTGGTGCATGTGAATTGAATGAAGAATTATCGAATGACTATGAAACTCAAACAGTCGTGTAGACTGACCAGGTAACTATTGTCGTGCCGACTACTACGGGAGAGCAGAATATAATCGGCACTAGGAATTTAGCTAGTCTCGGCAGAGCGTGGCGTCTCCTTCTCTAGATAAATCCCGGGTTACCTTGTTCAATCAGGGCTTTGCAGTTACGAAAACCTTCCCGCCGTAAAGTGACACTAATCCTGGATATATTGATTGTACTCTAGTAACAGCATAGCGAACTTTCTCTATGATTGATCAGAAGATTCTGCTTGGATTCATCGAAGAATAGTGGAACAGTCTCTCGATTTATTCACACGATATGCAGTATGATATGACATTGTCTTTCTAATTACTCATAATAATCATAATAATAATGCAGTTACGAATAAAGATTATTTACTATAACGGAGATTTGCCGTCATCAAAATCTGCACACACACTGAACCATATTTCATATAAACAATGATGACACATCGTCGCTCCATGTGATAGCTTAACAAATAAAGAACGCAAAACTCCATGTGATAGCTTAAGATTGATTCTTTGTGGCACCGTCGGAGTTCAGAAAAGAATACGTCACCGTTTATATCGTAGTTCTCTAAGCAGTGATTGACTTTCGATTTTGTAAGATCCTGCTAAGGCTGTTAATTTGACTTTTATTTGAAACTTAACTTTGAAGGACATTGGGCCGAAATTATTTATTAGCTTTCTTGAGTATCGAGAACTCGACTTGTGACGATGATGATGTACTGTCTCATGTAAACATTGCCGCAAACACGAAGTTTGCTATGGTCCTTGGTCTAACGACTGTTCCCAGAAGAATACAAACAACCACAGATTCAGATGAATCATATGCTCGCCAGCCGAGTCGAAACCTTTCCCGGCTACTATTACAGGTTTCGGCTTTTTTAGAATCAGCGGAAGTGAGCAATTTTTGGAGACATTATAAGGAGAAGATGTACGAAGCTGCCACTGCTGCTGAGCTCACCAGACGAAGTAACAAAAGGTGACGATGGATATGGTATTGATTGCAGTTGGTTTGAAGATGAAGTTGTTGGAGGTATGCGAATTAACATTTTTTTGATTCTACCCATTATTTTAAACACATAGTTTCTGATAAACGGTCTCTGAATTTCGGTCGGCCAGTAACAGCTGCGGAATTGACATCGTGGGTACACAAGCAGAGTGATACAATGGGAAATAGAAAAGGCGATACAGCATCGCGCTGTAATAGTAATAGCGGCTAGAAATAGATCAATTAGTCCGCCGAAAGATATAAAAGTAGCGTAGATTTCAGTTAGATTGAAGGTTCGTCCGCCCATGTTTATAATGTTCTAATTACTTTCGATTCATTTATTGTAAATAAACGAGTACAGTCAACCCTCTCTATAGTCACGCTGTCGGGGACAATGCAACTTTTGTTGAAAATGTGCTTATAAAGAGGTGTGACTATATAGAGGGTTTTTCCTATAAGTTTAATAGTAATTGGTTCCCAAACATGGTGTGCTTATAAAGAGGTTTTCATATGATGTGCTTATAGAGGGGGTGACTATAAAGAGGGTTGACTGTAGTTCTTTATACTCTGAAATAAATTGTCAATGATGCATTCCCTGGTAAGATAGTTAATTGTTTATGTAGATACGCATTATTATAATTAAAATACTATTGTACCCAACGGCAGACTAAGAACACCGACAGAGTTACTCGAGCGCAATTAATATATCCAGGATTTACGACGGTAAGGTTTTCGTAATAGTAAGTGAAAAGCTCTGATTGAACAAGGTCACTAACTGTAACCCGAGGTTTATCTAACCACGCTCTGCCGAGACTAGCTAGCTAAATACCAAGTGCCGGTTATTATCTGCTCTCCCGTAGTAGTCGGCACGACAATACCAAACTGGCCACGATCACCTCTTCAATATGGCGAAGATGTGTATTAAAACGAAGATAATGATAAATCGAAACTTGTGAAAACGAATAAGGTCAGTAAAATAATCAAGTGTATTTTTGTTGAGTATTATGTTGTAAGTTACTCTGTTAGATGGAACACCCTTCGGGGGGACATGTGCCCTTCGGGTTTAAAGTAACATTTTCAATGATTCTAATGTAGACACTAATGCTGTATCCACTATGTTACAAGCTTCATTCTGCAACTGAGTTTTTAATTGGTATGAGCACAGTTGACTCTAGACTATCTGGAAATGCAAATCTCACATTTAAAGCCAACAATTTCTCTCTCAACCCGAGAAAGGAAAAACTCGACAGTTGTCACTTCCTGTGGTCTTTTCGGGCAATATTCGAAAAAGAAATATTATGGTATTGATATATTTGCTTTATTTCATGAAATTCCAATGTAAATGTCTTCAGAAAGAGGAATTCGAGCATCAGAGAGGAGGTTGAACTTCAATATTTGTGGATTAAGCAACAAGGGATTTTCCTTTGCCAGATATAGTAATAAAATCACCTAATTTAAACTCTTTGTTATCTAAAGAAATTTCCTAAGGAAATCTCTTGCGTCTTCGCAAGTTATTATAATAATAATTTTTCAGAAGCTAAAACAATTTTCGGCATATAAAATTGCTGACTTGGAAAATCCATTTTTTGATACCATACATCCTATTGATTCGCGTTTCTTAAACTTTTTTACTGGAAACTACCTTGTATCCTGACTAGAAGCAACAAATCCTGAGTACAGTCGAACCTCGTTATACCAAAGTGTCGGGGGAGGCATCCATGATTCGTTATAACGAGACATCCGGTATAGTGAGGTACCTCTATATAACGAAGTTAGGCCTAGCGTCAAGCAATATTCGTTATAACGAGACTTATGTGAATAATATCTTTACTTCAATTTACAAACAATAATACATGAATATGATAGAATAATTATACTAATCAGTAATAGATGAATCTATTAGAGTTTGTTTTTACTTTGCAATCCCACCTTTCTCTTCAACGCACGAAAGGCTTTAAATTCATCGTAATTTATTTCTATGTCACCTTGTTGAAGGAAGTTGAATGACATTTCAAGTGCGACTACTGCATCTTTATTAAAGACGGGAGAGATTTCGAGCTACTTTCATCATCACCTTCCTCTTCTTCTGCGGGAAAGAAGGAAGAAACAATTTCGTCATCTGTCATCATTTCCTTGCTTATGTTTGATGGGCGAGTATCATAAACGTGATTACTGGAATTAAAAACAGTAGGCACGAAATGCGGTATGATCTTCATCTGCTACAACCAATCACTATTCTACAATTTTTATCACGTGATAAAACTTCGGATTAGTAGTCAGTAGTCTATGTAAAAATCCTGCATCGAACTTCGGCACGGTATAACGAAGATTTTACTATTAAATTCGTTATAACGAGGGAATTTTACTATTTAAAAAACGGGGGAGCCAGAATTCCTTCGGTATAACCCTAACTAATAATAATGAAAATTCGGTAAACGAGTTCGGTATACTAATACTGTACTTGTATAATCACGTGATAATGGATGATATTTAATTCATTAGATATCAGATATTAATTAACTTAAGACTTGCAATGACTGATCAGCGTGTTGGTACGTTAGGACAAGGGAAATCGACGAGTCGGCATAGGCACTCTGCTAGTATTAGTTCAAGGGAACTCAACAACGCTCGTCGGGATTATTCGAGAACGCCTCGAAAACTGTTTGATCCGACCAATGATCCTATACCCAAGGCGACAAAGTCCGATGATAGTGAGGACTATAAAAGAAATACTGTGTCAAAACCCAATAATCGTCGGCTCTTCGATCCAGAACGTGATCCTGTGATTCCTACGTCAAAGTATCTAACGACTGGCAACTCGTCACATGGATCCTTTGAGTCTGAAACCAAAATTGTTGGTCACCAAGCCGTTTTACAAACTCGCGAAGAGTCAAGTGGGCAATCAAAATCTGCCGTGGAGAAATCATCGTCTAGGCGTAGGAGCAGAAATCTAGTTGACGAAGACGTTGCGCGTGCTCGTTGCTATCAGTTTCGTGGTGGAAGCACAAGCAGCTTATCAAACTCGGGCAATGTTTTGAAAGGCGAAAATGTGAGCAAGCAGGATGCTACTTCTAGTGCGATCAAGTTGCTTCTTGAAGAGATTTACCAGCTAGAATCTCAAATTGCGGAAGATGACCTTCATTTCAATAGTTACTTGAAGAATGGAAAGTTTCTTAAAGATGAAACTTACTGGCGAGAGAAAGTGGATTTACGCATACGGTATGCAAACCCTGCGTAATACATTGTTTCAGCAAAGTTTAATAATTGTTCTTTTTTACTTCCTACAGGTTGTCAAGAAAGTATGCGCAGTATATTCATTTGCATCACTCGCTTGCTATTAAGAATGAAATAGAGACGAAATGCTGGAAAATTTGTTTCTACTCTTTGATAGAGAAGTTTCGCCAGGCTATTAAAATGGAGAGATTTCAGTCATCAGATTCATCCATCATGTTAACCAAGTTCTATGATTTTTTGGATAAAGCAGAGGAATTTTATAAACTAATGATCGTTCAAATGGATAAAGATTCGGAGAATGTAGGTGAAAAATTTAAGACTCCACGATGGTTCAGATGTGTTGACTGTCTTGGTGATATTTCGAGGTATCGCTGGAGCTACAGCGTGGACGATCTAGAAGTTAGTCGAGATAGTTTGGCAGACATTGCTTCTAGCTGGTATCTTATGGGCGTTAAGCTCAATCCTACTAATGGTATTTATCAATGACTGTTGCAGTCCTATCTGCTTGGTTATAACGAATGTGATTTCAACATGTTAATTACCTGACATGCACACTTTCAGGTAAGTTCTATCACCATTTAGCTATCCTGGCACCAAAGAACGAGCTAAGAATCCTATATTATTATTGTCGGAGGTTTGTCTTAGTTGATTTTCAAGTTTGCAAGACTTCGGTTGTAATGGAACTACGAATAACCTATTTCGACTATTCAGCCTCATGGTCAAGATTCCATTTCTCACTGCTCGGGAATCGCTCGTGTTGTTTTTCGAGAACAATAGAAAACGCTTTACTTCCCTCGAATCAAGCCCAACGAAAGCGAAGGGTGAATCTATGCGATCTCGTCCAAGTAGCACAACTTTCTCCTTAAGTGAACCAGCTGAGCACCAAACCTTTCTTGGTCTATTTGTGCGCCTGCATGGAATGCTTTTTACGAAAATTGGACTTGAGCGTTTTGAGGAAATTGAACAAGCTTTTCTTTTGCGTGCGTGTACAGACAATGACGATGGGACGCCCGCGGAGTGTCAATCATGCGATTTGTTTTTGAAAATGGCAACCATTAATTTATCCAGTTTTTATGATTATGGAAGCAAAGAGGCATCATCATTCAAACACGCACTGAGACCCTTTGATGATATGGGGAATAATTATGCGCAAACGGTTGCGGCTGATTTTGCATTTTCTCAGGCTTGTAGGTTGACCTTCAAGCTTATGTATAAGTTTATGCTTAAGTATACTAGCTTAGATGCAAATTCCGGACCCAATCCCACATCGGAGGGTTGGATTTTGTACATCGAAATTGTGTTGCTTTGGATGGTTGCCAGTGGTGTCTTCAAAACAAACGCTGAGGACGTTCGTAAAAATGTATGGGATGCAATGATAGGCAATTCGATTTTAAGTGAATTTTGGTCTGCGCTTGCCAGATTTCTCACCCATATTGCCGAAGAAGTTGCTTTAACTAAGGAGATAGTAACAGACTTGTTGGATGAGAGAAACTCTGCCAGTAAATTTCTGTTGAGAAATCCCGTCTTACCTGAGGATTGGGAATTACGCGGAATTGTGTGGTTAGAAAGAGTTTACTCGCCAAAATTGTCTGAAGACGATAGGAAGTCACTTATTAGGAGCATCGAAAATCAGGATGCTCAATTGTTAAGTGAAAGTGTACGGACGCAATATTCTTCATGGTTGAACCAGGATGTCATTAAGGGTCGCCGATACCGAATTCTTGAGCTCGGCGTTATTCTTAGCGAAGTAAGAGAATGTGGTTTATCATACAGTCAGTCGTTTTTTCTTTTCAATCAAATGGATTAAACATTTTAATTTTTATCACAGCTATTTTCCGGACTTGTATTTGATTCTGAGAAAGCAACCTTTCGTTCGTCCGTGATCTCTGATATTGATCCGATTGATGACAAAATCCAATCCAACGGAAACATACCAATTGAGAAAGATGTTAATGAAATTGAAGCAGAAAGTGGTGATTCAAACGAATACGATGATGAAGATGAGGATGAAGATGAGGATGAAGAGCTAGGCGGGAATAACGAGATAAGAGAGTTAAAAGTATGTGTTCAATGATTGTTATGAATATCCTAGAAATATGTTATTTTAACTTGCTGTCTTTGTGACACAGAAACGTCGCCTGGAGTTAGAGGCTCTACTTGCGGCAACAAGGAACAGTCCATCAGTCAAAGTGACTTCACGCCTACGTAGCCAGAAGGGTTTGAGGAAAAATGCTGCAACTTCGCGAATCAGGCCGAATATCACTAGTCTTGTAATAGACACCAATTGTTTCATAGGTGACTTGAAGATGATGAAAGAGATCATACAGTGCGAGAAATGGACTGTTATAGTTCCACTAGTAGGTAAATATCGGCAAGGCTTTGCAGATTTTTCACTTGATTTATAATTAAGACACTTTATTGCACGCTTGTTTTATAGTTATCACAGAGCTGGATGGACTAAGTCATAATCCGCCACCGCTTGGCAATGCTTCAGCAGAGGCCATTACGTATATTGAACAGACATTACTGGCAAAACGATCCAGGAAGCTCAAGATCCAAACAAGCAAGGGCAACTATGTGTCCGACATCAGTTTCAAGGAAATGTTTGATTTCGGCGAAGGGGAAAATAAAAGGAAGAATCTTGATGATCTTATATTAGGAATATGCTTTTGGCATATCAGCAACCAAAATAGCAGCACTCGCCAAACTCGAAATGATTCTGATCTAAATAATATCGCAACAGTCGTCTTGCTTACTAACGATCGTAATTTGCGGGTAAAGGCGCGTGCACGCGAAGTTGATGTTGCGGGTATACGAGACTTTAAAAAATTATTGGGACGGTAAATTTATGCGGGACTGACTGACATAGTTCAGTTGTCAATATTCCTTTTATTCTCGTTTGGAATTGAAGAACACACGAAAGATGGGCTGACTGCACGGTGAGGTGAAATGTTCTTCCACGTCTAATACATTTATATGTGATTCTCTTTATTCACGTTGTTGCTTTCCCCCTCAATTAGAATGTAACCAAATTTCCCCCATCAGGTTAATTACAGTTGCTTTTTCTCTTGCGTGTGTGCAAACCTGGTCATTGGATAGATGCTGGGTGTTGACCGCACAAGCCGAGAATAGCAAAACAGCAACGCGAGACGTTGGTTGTGTGGACAACTACACTGTTCCTCTAATGAGTCCCCAGCGGCGACGATTTCGAATTGATTCAACTGTTTATGCTTTACGAACAAACCAAATGTACTGGTAATGGTACGCCACAGGTGCTGTTTTTCACTCATATATCTTATAATAGGCTGAGAATATTGATATCTCATAACCATCTAAAGGCAGAATATTAGTATATCTTTTATACCAATAAAGTATTACATTAAAAGCTTTTAATTGTGTCTTGCCTCTTCCAATTTAAAATTCCATGGAACGTGTCATATCAATGTATTTGTGCAGCTGTCATTCATACAAGATCTTTCTTCGCTATTCATTATTCAAAGGGAGATTTAAATGGAAATTACTATCTCTTTTAAGACAGAAGTTTGGGATGGTCGTGCTTATAATGAAGTGGCTGTATTGATGGATTTATTGGCTACCCCGCGTTTTCTCCTCAAAAGACCATCTCTTAATATTGCGTCCACGAGCTCCAACTTAACAATAGCATCATTGCTTAACTGGGTATTTGAATTCATCTCATCAGTATTCTGTTCCGAATACTGTACATTGCGGGAACAGCCTGGTGCGTCATACATAATGTCATTGTGTGTCTTACGTATTTCTTCCATGTTGTTGAGAGTCTATTAACCATAAAATCATGTTGGCACATTCTCAATACGTCAAGTAGGGAAAAACCACAAGATCACATACTATCTACCTCATGCAACTGGCAGATGCGTATGTGAGCTTCTCGCACTCTTGGTCCCAATCCTAGGGAAGTAGAAAATATAAGAGAAAAATCACAATGGCCAGAGACCTTCAAAAAGAATCTTACCAAATTCGATTTTCTCTGCATTAGTATTCTTTGTCCATATGGCAAGCTCGTTATCATAGACGTCCACAAATTTGGCCAGATGTCGATTTAAAGTAGATGATATTTCCCTTAGTTCGACAAGCAACTTGTCGTCAATCTCTCTGTCATCCTGACAGTTGTCAAACTTATTTTGGTATGTGAAGCACGAAAATTAGGTTTTTGGCTCTTCAGTCTGAATTTTGATTGCAAGAAATCTTACACTCTGTTGAATAAACTCCAGTTCTGACTGTAGATTTTCCATTTCAAATCTTTCCCTCGCTGCATACTCTTTTAGAGCATCTGTATTAATTCTAGAAAGATACTTAGATGTAGACCGAATAATTCTGTTTCAATAACATCAAACACACCTCGTCTTACTTCCATGGCTAGTTTTATCAGCAGGCATGAGTGACAGTATGTCATTAGGAAATAATTCAAAGTTCTCTGACTTGACAGCTGTTAATAAGTGACGCTTCGCTATCAAGTTATCCATCAAGCTGCAAGCTTGGGTGAGTTCATCCATTTTCTACAAGCCAGTCGAGTTCAACGCGACGTGTTTTTAATAAGATTGTCATGTGACATGTATTACTAGATTGAACCCTGATCCTGCACAGTTTATTCGATGTCTACTCGTGGAAACCCGCGGACGCCTAGACGCGGTGGTAACAGTCAGCGCGGGAGGTCCAACTCTCCTTCTAATTCAGCAAATGCCGAGGCTTCACCTCCAGCATCCTCAAGTAATTTGTCGCCGTTGACTGCAGGTCGGAGACTAGGCTCACTCCACAATACAGTCGAAGCGCCTGCACCTGGAAGGCTTGCATCTCTGAGACTTCGAGATGTTACCTTTGGGGTTTGTTGCTAGATATGTCCTATTTTTTACAGTCTACTTACGTGCTAACATCATTAAGACACTTTTATTTACAGGGGGATGGATCACAATTGAGCGGAATGGGCATGCTTTCTTCAAATACAGGTTTTGGCGGAGATGTTACTCTTGGTGGCTTCAAGAAAATGACGTTTAGGCCTTCGGTTCCTCCCCGGCGGAAGAAAACCACAATAACAGCGCCCGGAGATGGAGATTCTAAAGCTGAGACTGCCGAAAGTTTTTCTGTAGATATGCCTTCTGAAGCTATAGTTGTAAAAGATGAATCAAGTGCAACAGAGGCTCATGTGTCAAACACGGGAACCACAGCACAAACAGCGTCAAGCCGGCCGAACCAGCGATCTCGATTACGAAATCAAGTGCTCACAGCCTCTGGGCCATTTGCTTACGGACCGTCGGCTATGTCTTCGCATGCCATTGAAGTTGATGGCGAGAGCGTGACGCGTACTGGAAGCCGACTCTTCTCGGATAATCGGCTGAAATCGGATGTGGTTATTGCGGAAAATTTAGCATTTTCTTTTTGCGAAGACCCCTGGGCCCCTGTTACTCTATTTGAAGCACCGGATCAGGCAGAGACTCTTAATTCATTAGAGAATAACGACACGTCTGCATCTCTTGCGGAACAACAAATGGAAAGAGTTGAACCATTTACATTTAATGAGGAAGTAAGAATACGCAGAATTATATGTGTCACGACAATGGTTGATTTTTGGTTTGATTATAATATCTAATTTCTAAATGATATTCAGGATAATCATTTGTTTTTGTTTCAATTACCTCCGATACTACCCGAATTTGAATCAGTTGCTGAGGCTGCTGCATCTGCTGCATCTGCTGCATCAACTGCATTTAGAGCCAATGCGAATACCGAGTCTAGAAAGGATGACAAAGCGGATAACCAACAAAAAGATTCAAAAGGAACTCGGCATTTAGAAGGAATGGTTGGGAAGTTGGTTGTCTATAAGTCTGTAGAAACAAAATTAAAGTTAGGAAACATTGAATTAGATGTATGTATATTTAACCGTTGTCTTACAAATATCAAATTTGTGGAGTCTCAAATTTTATTCTCTACAGGTTTATTCTGGAACAGAGTGTTCATTCCTACAAAACATTATGGTACTTGATCCAACAAAGAAGGGTGCATATTGCCTAGGTCAGGTATCTAAGCAGTTTGTCTGTGTACCAGATATTGAAACATTGTTAGACCATTCTGATGAAGATAATGGGAGAAGTAGTGACGATGTTTAGACATTGGAAGATTCCCTTGAAGGCTCAGTGATAAATAGCTGAATTTATTGTTATTATTGTGTAGGCTTTTGAAATAAAGCATTATATATTATAATATAATTTGAACTTACAGACAAAGCATTTTTGAAAACAGATATATTAATATTTAATAGTATCTTAAGTTTACAATGCTATTTATTGATATATAATAGTTATAATATTTAACATTGAATGATTTACTTACTCCTTTTCATATGGTGTTTTTTCTTTTTTTTTCTTGGCTTCTTCATTGTAATTTTATCTTGGAAGGGTTTTCATCAAATTCAGCACAATAAAATTACACTCAATATAAAAGATAAGAATTTTTGGGCAAATTAAAATGTCAATTAAAAAAAGCTATTTGGCTGCTTTGACAAATTTAAGATTTTAATTTATTAACTGGTAACAATGTCTGCGTTCTATTATTATTGTGGTATTAACATTTACCAAAGCTATCATTCCTAATTACTATCAATGAAGCTGAAACAATGTATCAAGCAGGAAAAGACGTCTTCTCATAACGTAGTTGCTTTTGTCAATTAAAATAACCCTCAAGAACAGGATTGTGTCGTAAAACAAAAGCAAACAATTAGATGCGTACGCTCGTGCAAAATTTGGTATTCAAAACTAACAGACGCGATGAATGAAGCGCAAAAATTCCATTGTTGAAGAATGCATTCATTGTCAATATTAAGTAATATAAATAAATACCATGCTCAGTAGTATAATTCATCGTCTACATATCGCTCAAATATATACTCGTTCAAAGAGCGGCCGAGGAATTACGGAAACATTTCCAATCAACGAATCGAAGATTTTGTCCTTATCTCCTTTGATACGAATTTTATATCCGCATAATTTCTCTAACTGTTCGTAAGTTTCTAGCGACAATGCTCGCTTTCTTTCAAAGAATTCATACAGGAATAAGCAATGAAAATAAATTCTCTAAGATAAAGCTTGTAGTTTGTGTTATGCGGTTTAGCTAGTTCATTCAAATGGTTTTAGAGATTTTTTTCGTTATAGGTAGTGTCAATGCTTGTTTTATTGATTTTTTACCTGACGATCTATTTATAGCCACATCCATAACGCGCTTTAGGATAATTTGTAAATTTCCACTCATTCGTATGTTGCTTATTCCAATAACACAAGAAGGTTGAATTATTCACGAACATCATAGTCAGCTAGCATTAGATGATATAGTAGTCTAACAAGGATTCGATTCATGCATGAACGTCAAGTGATACAAATAGAAATCAATCGTTAAACTCTAAACATTTTTATCGTTTCAACCATGAAGAAAAACCTTTTAATCTTTAGTACATTAATAAAAGTACTTCTCTTTCCCGCATAGTAAGTGATGATCTTATAGTATTAATATACACTATACTCGTTATTTTATCAATATTGTTATCTATTTCTGTCAGTCACTCAACAGACTTTGAAGTACACAGAAACTGGCTTGCCATTACTCATAGTTTGCCAGTTGAACAATGGTATCATGAAAATACTAGTGAATGGACGCTCGATTATCCCCCATTTTTTGCATGGTTTGAATGGGCTCTTTCTCAGTTTGCACCAATAGCTGATAATGAGATGCTCAAAGTGACAAATCTAGATTATGCAAGCAATGAAACGATCTATTACCAACGGACAACAGTTATTGCGAGCGAGTTGGTCTTATTCTATGCTCTCCTCAAGTAAGTGGATGAATCAGTTATCTATCTGATTGTGTACTCAGTTCCGTAACATCCAAAGCAAAGCTCCGCATGTTAATGCTTTATCCAACCGAAGATACTTGTCTGTCAAGAATGATACAATCCATAAAATTGTTGTTCTTTCAATCTTTCTGAATCCGGGATTCTTTATCGTGGATCATATACATTTTCAATATAACGGTTTCTTGTTCGGCATACTTATCCTGTCAATAGTGTTAATACATCAGGTTAGAAGAAATGAATTCCAATCGTATTCTTGAAATTTTAACTTTACCACTCTGACTAATATAATCTCGCAGAAAAATGATCTGGCATCAGGCATCGTATTTGCAATGCTTCTTAACTTTAAACACATATATTTATACCTTGCACCAGCTTACTTTGTATATTTGCTGAGAGCTTATTGTTTTGAGAAGGTAACAAACGGTAAGATAACAACAGTTTTGTGATGTGTCACATTCTTTAGAAAGTGGTTTGATATAACGACTCTATATTATGGCATATCCAAGTTAGCCCAGTATTTGAATGGTCCAACTATGAATATTTATAGTATATTGTAAACTAACAACATGTTAGCAATTTAGAAATGCTACAAGTTTAAAATATTGCATACTTTAATTAGTGTGATTCGAAGTTTATTTGACATCTACACTAGAAGGTTGTTTAATCAATACATTTTTAGAGTTTGTGACACTAGCACGAGTTTAATTAATATTAGTAGGATTTTATGAACAGTTTACTAACGATCTCACAATGCAGATTGTTCAAAATTCTCCCTCGCAAGGTTTGCAACATTAGGTGCATCAGTTGCTGGAGTGTTTGCCATATCATTTGGTCCATTCTTGCTATTGGACCCTATTGGACAGCTTTCCCAAATACTTTCACGACTTTTTCCATTTACAAGAGGACTTTGTCATGCATACTGGGCACCTAATTTCTGGGCACTGTATTCGTTTATGGATCGCGTTTTAATTTTTTGTAAGGAGACTGACTGCATATTATATAGTATGATCATATTTGTTCGCATTACGGACGACTAAATATCATTCTAGGTGCCAAAAGATTAGGAGTGCACTTGAATGAAGAAGCAGTATCATCTGTAACACGAGGACTCGTTGGGGATACAAATTTTGCTATCTTACCAAACATTTCACCAAGGATTACTTTTTTTACTACAATCGCGTTTCAGATTGTGAGTATCTTCACAATTAATATGGTAATATTATTATTAAGTCTCCCACAAGTATTAACAACCTTGTTCAGCCTTCTTTAGTAAGATTATGGAAACAACCCAATTACGAGAACTTTTTAGTATCACTGATACTTTGTGGATTTGCATCATTTCTTTTTGGATGGCATGTTCATGAAAAAGCAATTTTGCTGGTATTGATACCATTCAGGTATGTTGATTACAGCCAACAGTTGCTCAACCAGTAATTTAAATGAACAAGTAAATAACATTTGTTATTTCTATTGTAGCCTGATTGTGGGAAATAGAAAAGAGTATTTTGATATCTTTTTGATTTTGTCAGTTGCAGGATTATACTCTCTATTTCCGCTACTATTTCATTGGCAAGGTGAGTATAATTGCATTCACGAATTGTTAAGTTTAGCGGAGTAGAGGATTAAAACTTTATTTTTACAGAATCTGTAATCAAGCTACTCTTATATATTATCTGGTTGTTCTTTGTCGGCTTTGGATTATCTAGCGAGTAAGTGTTATACGTCAACAGTATTCTGGATGTATTTTGATGAATGCTCTCTTGTTAATGAATTTGCTCGCATTGGAAAGATTTCAGTACAAAACACTAAGATCTGACGTTGGCCAACCAAAACTAGTTCAACTATTAAAAAGGTTTTATCTTTTGGGAATGATTCCATTATGTATCTTTACTGGAATAATTCATCCCCTTTACCTTGAAGACCGATATCCTTTTGTATCCCTGATGTTTACATCGGTGTATTGTGCGATTGGTGTTATATACTCATGGGGGGAATTCTCTGTGATAAACTATCTGGATTATAAAAAGTTAGAGAAATAAATTTCGCTACTACTATAGAAATAAATTATTGTATGTAAAAAACGGCTTGACTTAAATTTACACCATAAATGACGCGTTTTATAAATTGGTCTAAAGATGTTTGTGAAAACTTTGTGCCAGGCACGTCAGACTTCGGCGCGGCTAGACTTATCCGTCACACCAGACATGATTTTTCAAGTCACCGTATCCCAAAAACATCCCATCAAACATAGCGAGTTAGTGAAAATTGTGCAAAATATGCCCGCCTACAAAAGGAGCCAGGACGCAAAAATTAGATTTTTTGCTCGCGTTACATATTTTTTGGCAGGGAAAGTGGTACGACGAAATAATACTGGGACGCGAACTTCGGGTTTTCGAACGACCAAGCGCGTATCTCCTGTCCTCCGAAACGTATAACAATGGGTCTTGAAAATCGACACTAAGTATGTCATTTGCCACGTGTCTGGGGGAATTTATTATAATACATAACGATAAATGTGAACCTCGCGAGGCTGCGGTCATGCATTTGTGTGATTCCATGTGTTTTCAATGCTAGGTATCAAGCTTTACAAGCTATTATAGACCATGAACTTAATTTTCCATGAGTGGATGTTAAATGGATAAGCGAAAATTTAACTACCAGGAACCTGCTTTTACTCTACAACGTAGGGTGCACTTTGCTTATGGTTTTGGAAGAAAACCGACAAGGACCACTACAGTATTTCAACATTTATAATAGAGATGGCAATGAGTATATAATAAAAACATAAAATCTTAACCAATGTGGATCAGACAGTTGAAGAACAAAGTTTATCACTATACAGTGCTTGTAAAATTTATTGAGAAGCAGAACAGCTGATTGCGGATGCCGTTTGTCAATCAATTATCAATCGAGGACACTTTGGGATTTAGAATGTTTCGGTTGAGAATTAAGTTTCAGAATTAAGTAATAATATTTGCGTTATAAACTATATAGATGCCTCATTCATCTTTTAAATAATACTTCCCGTCCCGTCAATTTTCTTCTGTCATAACTCAATCTATGTAAAACACATACCCGACACTACTCTCTCCATTCATCCTCCATTCTACCCTATTAGTCAGCTTTGATAGCTACATAATAAAAAACCTTATTAGAATTTGCGCATTTAGCAACTACAGAATTCTCTCATGTTCATCCCACGCCCTTTCCTTATTGCTCACCTGAATATATTTTCCTTACAAACCAATACGTGCTGAAGAAACCTAAAGTACCAGTAAACAGTCCGTACACAAGACACGCTAACAGACTATTGATGAAGTACAATAGTGATGGTACGAATCCTGTGATTTGCAATTTGTTGTAATAAAATATGCCATATAAAAAGATGTAGATTGATGAGCTGCCACCCACAAAGAAGGAACGCCACCACCAGTGATAATCCTGCAAAATTTGAATGGAGGAAATTGGAATTATGCACAAACGTTAATATTTTGTTACCATTATTACAAAAAGGTACCCCAGAATTGCTACCGTTATTTACCTCGCCGCACAGTTGGAAGTATGTAATTACGATCGTAATCTCAACAACCGTCGTTACAAGAATGACGAACACCAGTCCAAGAAAACCAAACATATAATAGAATTGATCTTGCCATATCGATTTGAGGATAAAAAATAGTTCGATAAAGATCACGGCAAATGGCATCAATCCACCGACGATAACACTACAGAGTGATCATAGCAAGGTTTATCAGTCTACCAACCCAAGTTTTTTCCTCCTCTGTTCCGCATACTTGTATGAATTCCAACTTACCTGACAAAAGGCTGTAGATACCAAACTTGTTCGGGAATTTGTCTTGGAATAGGATTTGTCCTCACTGGATGTTCTATTGTTTTCTTTTTGAAACCAAAGTATGCTCCAATGAATACCAAAGGAAACGAGATACCAAACCACATGGAAATAAGAGCAAAGAATGTGCCGAATGGAATAGCAGATGATGAGTGTTTGGACCAGATAAACAAGTTAAGGATGAATATTGTGCCAAAGAGAAAGCCGGGAACCAAGATGGCAGTCTTTTGACAAGAATTAAGAGAAGAGACAGAACATTGTGAGTGAAATAATAGTTTACAAAGTAACGTTAAGTATAGGAAATAAATACAATAGATAGCTTACGGTAACAGCATTTTTCTTCCACGAAGTGCCTTTGAATACTTTGTACATTCTTGAACTAAAATATCCAGCAAACGTACTACAATGCGTTGAGAAATTGTTTAATATATCTTCGCAACGTATGTGCGACAACAGACTATATTGAGAATTTCACATACCCAGAGAATACAAATAAGAATAATGCAAACGAGACCAGACCACCTCTATATGAAGGATTTAGTACACCCAGAATGGAGAAGACTAAAAAAGATATGAGCAAATAGCGGATTAACATAAGTATTGAAAAGTCTCCCAGCAACATGGCATTCGACTCTAAATACTCGCAGCTTCAATATTGACATACCCATAGTAGAGACACCCATAAGCAGTATCTGTACACCCGATCCAAGTAGAGGTGCTAATAAAACTCCCAATTTTGGTGGTCTGAACACATCGCCATGAACGAGTTTCCATCCTGTTGTATCTTCTTGATCTTCCTGCGTGATCAACGTATTAGTCAATTGAATAGAGACATTATAACACGCGTTTCTGACATCATTAACCTTTCGTTACACATACTTTTAAATCTTCCTCATTGTAAAGAGCAATGTCTCTGTTGAGCGTGCGTAACATGATAATCGCAACCATTGCAGTAAGGAATAGTGCAATTATTAAAGAGTTGACGATTGAATACCAGTGTATCTGAGCATCAGTATTCAGCAAGTATCTATCCCAGCGATTCCCCCACGTGATTTCCTTTTCCTGATAAAATAAAATAAACGTTAGACAGTCTAATATTACCATAAAACGACGTAGTGAAATCCGGTTTAACAAAGATATTTTCCGAAACAGGTTTCTTCCCATAGGCCATTCGCAACATCGAAATGGATAAGGAAATCAACCAACGAAACGGAATACTTTGTTAAACTGGATTTCACTGTATATACGCATTATCAGCTGTTACCTCAATCCATTCGACAGAGTAACTATAAGTAACAGTGCTTTCACCAGCCCCGATTTCTTGTTTTGCGGCGTTTCCATCCAAGTTCGGACAGAAGTCGGCCGAATTTGCAATGCTGCAAAATTTGTCGCGAATAAAATAGAATTCGATATTAGTCATATTGGTAAATGACGCGTGGATAAATATATTTCACATAAGCACTTTAGTCTAAATGTAGTTGCTAATGTCCCAGCTTTAAACGCAATCCTATTCCTTCTTTTTATTATTCTACCACTACCTCTCAGTTTCTCTCATACTTACGATCGTGGGAACACCTCGAATCCTACGATCAGATTCCCATCATCATGTTCCTTCTTTTCATAGAAAATCTTCAATACGTAATGGTTATTCAAAAAAGCCTTTCTATCTTTCTTTGATTCCTGTTTCTCTTGTAATTGACCCAATTTGAATCCAACTTCATATCGTTTCTGCTTCTTTCCGGGGAGAGTTTGATATGCAGTTGCTCCAGGTAGGTTGTCAACAATCCTTTTGCGTATACAATGGAATTGATTGGAGTAGACGATCAAAAAGTTGGTTTCAGTATGCAGCCAAATAACGCGCCTGTTTTGCAAAAAAATGTTCAATCTGAGATTCTTTACCATTCAATACGATAGTCGTTTTTTATTAATTGTTTTGCCCAAGCGGCATCCTTTGCCTTTATTATTTTCTTGCAAAGTATTTTGCAATCAACGTCTTCTTTCATTTTAAGCTGCACGTAAGATATAATAGTTTAACAATGTACTTATTCATTGTACGGAATTTTTAAAATACTTTATACCTGGGTTCTCGATCCCTCTAACCGACAATTTCCTCACTCACACGCTAGCCCTACCTCAAACACAGAATTAGCTATCCGATCTCCTCTCAAGACTTCTCCTAGGTTCATCCAAGAACTCTTAACACCATCCTCGGGCACACAGACGAAAGGCAGATCATTATAAGCAAAGGGCAATTGAGTTTTATCTGAGAATATTTTATTCACATATAACGTAACATCATCTCTATCATGAAACGTTTTTGGACTCAAACCAGGTACATAGAAGGCAGACACTGGTATAGAGAAGAAAAACAGAAATATAAGGAAATGACGGAAGAAATCTTGTGAATGAGAAGAAGGCATGATTTTGTAGATGTCAAAAGCGTGAAGGAAGGGGAATATGAATGTCTTTGAATTATGGTACGGCGATTAGTCGTTGGTGTGACCACTGTGTTACTAACTGTTTATGTCAAATTCTTTCTGTGAAAACAAATTTAGCCTATTTCATGTCAGTTCTATCCCAAGATCGTTATTCACATCACACGTGCAACCAGCTGCTACGCAAATTTGGATATTTTTTGACTGACGTGAGGGCTATTCATTCCTGTTGCGACTTCGCCCAAGGGATCTGCTGTACTAATAAAGGAACGCAAAACTCCAAGGGATCTGCCGTTGTTATGTGTAAGACACGTGGCGGTTCTAAGATAGAGAGTTCTATGCATATACCCAAATATGGTTGGAACGCTTCAAATTTCATATCATGTTGATATGAGGGAAACACCACATGACAAAACCAATTCATTGTACAGAGAACGAAGTGCTGTATACAAATATGTGGTTTACCATCAACTCTTTTATTAATTAAAGAGTTCATCTTGTCTATTTTACTGTATTGGTATGAATTACACATATTGAAGGTCAATTCTATTTATACAAAAGACCATGTCAAAGCCCTCTTTGTGCTCTTCTATTATTAATACAAAAATATCATTACTTATCACATAACCCACATTGTATGCCTTCGTTTATTTTCCGCATGGATAGACAAGAGCTCAAGTTTGCCCCTTTTTTCTCTTTGCTTTCTTTGTCTTTGCCCGCACTCATATCAACTCTGAACCCACGATATTTCCTTAACCATGCGTTAAGATCGCAGTCATCAAAATAACAATCATAAAACTCTATTTCATTTAATTGAGAACTCCTCTGCAGGAGAGATCTCATGATGCCTCCGCATCCGATGTCGCAGTTGTGAAGAACGAAACGATGGAGGTTGAGCTGAGATCTGACAAGAGAGGCAATTTTGGAATCGCCTGCAAGGAAATAAAAAAACGACCCGGGTACGTTCCGCATACTATCTCTATTATTTACTCTTTTACGCAATTTTATCTCGTTGTTCTTCTCATCATCAGCCCATACGATAATAGTACTCAACATTTTTTGGGTACGTGCAGCTACCTCGACTATATCATCTCCCGGCGTATTTGACAAATATTGTATCGGGCATCTCAATTCCAAATGCCGTAATTGAGTACTTCTGTGTAGTAACATTCGTATCAATCTGAATTGGACGCTGCTGACATTTTGATTATTGTAATTATCTCCTCTTGTATTTAATGTTCTATAATTTTCATCCTTCAAGTAAGCTTTACAAGCAGTAGATACCAATTCATCTGATAGCGCTTGTAAATATTCAGGATAGTCATAAAAATGTCCAGCTTCGATCCACCATGGTTGTCTATCCAACGATGGGAACGGCGTATTACATTCTGGGATGTAACTAACATATAGGCGCACGAGTCGAGAATATGACTTGGGGTGGCATACGTGAAACGGTTTAGAATAAAGCAATGGTGCTACAAAACTACAAAAGGTACGGCTAGTTAACATCAACGGAAGTAGAGCAGATGGCGAAGATGAGATATGAGAGAGAATGAGAGGGATTAGGTCTATCGGTAGACTTGTTGGAGCCATGAGGAGAAATACGCAGAGTATGCGAATTTGGGGGGGGGGGGGGAACGAAATGCTGGGGTATTTATCGGATGACTTATCATCGACAGTAAATTTCATTATTTAGCCAACATACCTTTTTTTTAGCTATACATCGAGGCGATTGTATGCCAAGTGTTTTGCATATCATAACTTATTTTTACATTGTGGATCCATCGATAAGGACTCGTTATCACAAATTCTTTATGTTTAACGACAGAATTGTGAAAGAGATAACGACACGATATCAATTGCCTTCTCTGGGTTCTTATCATATTTACTCTACGCCTATAGGTTTATCAATAAGCCACGCGTACTTGCAGATCTGTGGTACACGACATCTTTTCATCCAGTGCTGTATTAATATGGTCTATCGGAGAGGGGTAATTTGTCAAGCCACAACTGTTCGCTACCATTTCTGATTGTAGTAATAGAAGAATGGAAATCATTAGCAATTTGAATTTTTTGGGGTTCAAAAATTTGCTGAACGCACTGTTTACTTCACAATATATTATTATTTATTCAAATTACCAAATAGTCTATGAGTTTTATAGCCATGCCGATTAATCAGCATTTCACAAAATTTGAACTACAATGCAACTGAAAACACGTACTATGCGAAAAGATTGTTGTAGGTTTATTATATGATAAACAAAACCAGGCAAAATGAAGGTATGTTAACGTCGCAGCGTTTCAGAACTATTACTACTGAACAATGATTATATCTGATATGGCATTAAAAGCAGGCTGGCATATTAATATGTCTGAGGAGATTGCATCCTGTGACCGATGAAACGCATGTGACTACATCACAAAAAACGCGCAATGTCAGTCAGTGCAAGAGAGTTTTTCAAGAACAATTCCTCTTGGTCGCTACTTTCATTTCCAGCCCCGAAGAGGAGTCGACAAAGCATCGACTGTACAAGAGTGCTCTGGATCATGCTCGAAGATGTCTTATTAATTACGAGGTCAAGTATTATCGATTGTTGAAGTATGAGGGCTGTGGGTGGGTTCAAGGACTAGAATGCATTCCGGTCCCGGGACAATTACGTGACGTATTGACAGTCCCCGAGTAACCTTGCTGACTTCGTCTTGGCAAGGAGATAGTGGACTTCGTCTTCCCTCGGGCGTCTTTGAATAGACTTATGTTATTGCCATAATGCAACTTGATGGCTTCGTCCTGTCGGGTTGTTAGACTTCGTCTCGTGTTATGGTCTGCCCCTTAATTTTTGTATTTTGGAGGATATCAGATATGGTTTCAAAAATTTTATCTTCTCCGTACGCTAATGTTTATTATTCCCGATCAACGAAAAACTTTGCGATATCGAAATCAAATGCGTGAATTTCATATCAGAAATAAAGAAAACTTGGAAGAAAAAAGAACTTCCAGACTTGCCTAATGAACGTCAAGCAGTTTTTTACGAAAAACAAATAAATGGGTTGCGAGAAAAGAGAGATTTAACTGAAGAAGTAGAAACCCATCTAGAAGCTTTGGGAATTGCTGAAGGCTGACATAAAAGACAAAAACAAGACTTGTTGGATAGGATTAAGCAATTGGAAGACGATTAAAAGAATTAACTCTGCAGGAATTAATAAAAGAAATCAACGATTTAAAAGCTGAAGTATCCCAATTACAACAACAGATGGTCAATTAATTGCTCAAATTGAAGTTAAGAAATGATCTTGACCGAAAATAAGAAATAATTTAATGATTGGATACTTTCTATCATTTGAATTAAAATTTATTCCAATTGTCAAATAAATGATAGTTGTTTACCTTTAGAGAAATCCCTGGCTTTTTATTGATGACCATCCAGTGATAATAATAATAAAGAAAGCAAAACTGTACTAAATAAATAGTTGCAATTTATATCTATTTGAAAGCTCTAGTTCTCAAGATTATCTTTTGTGAAATTTTTATTAAAAAATTTGTCATTAAATTTATAAAATTGATGAATGATTGGTTTTTGTTTACATTTTTTCTCAAAACTGTATTAAATAAATAATTGCAATTTTATATTATTTAAAAGCTCTATTTGTTCAAGGAAGTCTTTAATTATGATTTAAAATAAAACTGACATTGCATTATGAAATCATTAATTTGAAGCAGATCACAAACTTCAGTTTGTTTGATATAACTTAACTTGTTGTATATAGGATAAGTCATTCGCGACCAAACACAAGTAGAAATAATATGGGTATCAGTTATTTGGAGTTTTTAAATAATCACTTTTCCGTTGAAGAACCGATTGTCAAACACGATTTTGGTGCTTTGTTACCACAACATAATCTGTGATGTGGAAGTAGTCTTGTTATGTTAATGCTTTTGTTAAGGGTATTAACAGCATTAACATTACTTTTTATTTAATTGTTCTTAAGAATTATTACAAGATGATATAAACCCGTTTAGAATCCCAATCTACATTGCCCAACATAAACACTTTTATGAAAATCTACATGACAATAAATAGTAAAACAAAACAAAAAAAAACCAAAGCAGTGACAAGACTGCTGAAACTATTTTTAGTTTACACCTTATTTACATTATAAAATTTACATTCCCTATCTCATCTCTTCGACACTCTTGCAACTCTGAATCCAAAACTTAGAACATTCTAAACTCACACTTCTTTCAGAGCCTGGAATATAAGAACTCTCGATGAAGGCTTTTCGAACGGTCGGTGGTCCGATCGGGTTTTTAAGACTTCTTTCGTCCAGACTGTTTATGTACAAATACCCCTTCCTTCTCTGCCAACGTCAACTCTATTTCTTTCCCGATACCCGAACAGTTATAAAACTTTAATATCCATATGTCAGTCAACAGCTCCACGTAATCCTTCAGCTTTACATGCTCAAAGTGACACCCCCGGAACACCAATCTCTTTAATGAACCACGATAGTTCTTTAAGGCATCCAGCAACAATTCTAATCCGCTTGTCGCAATCATAGTCACGCTTTCCAGTGACTTCAAAGATGAGATAATATCGGATAAAAGCGACAAGTCGTTCTGTTTATTACTGACACGTTCAATGGTTAATTTTCGGAGTTTTTGGTCATGTTTTGTAAGTTGAGGAAAACAGAAATGACGAAAGGGATGAGCGGGTATGCCAGCAGAGATGCGGAAGTGAATTGTGCTGGAATGATGGATTATGGAAGATATCAGAATGCTGGAAATATGCCTCTTGTCGTCTCGTGGTGGAGGCTGGTGGTCTACCCATTCAGCCACCGCTTTATATATTATATGTATGTTTAATTCTGTAATGTACGTTAAGTAGGGTATTAATGTTCCCTTATCCAGTTCTTTCAATTCAGTTCTTGACAAGTTATTTCTCTCTTCTTTATTCAAACTGTGGAGCAAGGTTCTCACCAACTTAACTCGCCTTTTGTCCGTCGTTCTATTGAATACATTCCGATACAATATGCGAACGATTACACAGCAAAGTTTACTATTAAGCACTAAACAAGAGTGGAGCGATCTAGTGTCTTTGTAGAGCATGTTGAATATCAAGAGCAGGATTTCAACTGGGAGTTCGGAGAGCGATTTAGAGAATGGGAAACTTTCCTCCCGGCAGGAACTACGACGTATGAAAGAAGTTAACCGGTCAAGTAGTATACGGGGTAGCATGGTAAAGGGCACTACCGGAACGTAATGACTTCTACTATAAGTACGGACAAGCGAAATCCAGAATGATGTTTAGAGATCTAAATGGAGACGGTTACACTAAAATCACGCAATAAGTACTATGGGCAAAAAAATTGATTTCTGCTAACGCCAATAATAATTCTATTTATCATGCGAATTATATTATGATTGTGAGACTGACAAGCAAGACTGTTTGATAGAATTGATAACCATAAATAACTTGCGAATTAATTTTGTTTTTAAACGCATCTAGAAGAATATTTCGATGGTATGTGGATCTGATCTTGCTGATCAAATGCCCTCAATTGGCTAAAGCTTACAATGATAAAGGAAACTAATGATCATATCGTTTTGATATTTCGACACAAGAAAATGGCACCTTTTCTTTATTAGAAAAACAATGTCATGGCCAATATTTGTGTTTGATGTTTGAATGCTTTCGATCCGCCGTTTACGTGGAGTAAATGTACCGTCATTGCACTTCTTCCAGTATACTACCACGCTCCCAAATGTTCTCTTAGCGACACTTAATACGTCAACAACTCGCTTGCGTAATGTGAGCTCTTGATGGGTTTCTCCTGTGGAACCAGCCCCAGAAACGTAATTATAAAAATAGATTTTTCATTATCTGTCAGTGGTATTTTAAGACATGGGAAGGATTCATTTGGTCATGTTTTTCTAAACATGTGAATTTGAGACTATCACGCCTAGTCACACAACATTCTTTTCTTTAGAAAAGTAATAAACATAGTAATAGTGCTACAAACAGATTTAAGTTTAAAACCGTTAATGTATTATTGTTGCCTTTATCTGCTTGGTTCAAAACAAACCTTTCTTTTCCCTGTTAATACTAACTATTTCTAGTCAACCAAAATGACAATTGATTATCTCTAAAATTTGTATCTCTAACTTAATTTACACAAGTCAACAAAACAATAGTAACAGTTGTATTAAAATAAATTATTCTTTATTACTGTTTTTTAGTGCACGCGGGGGCAAAACCAGACAAAGTGAACATGAAAGATTTCAGGGCCCAAACTGCTGAACCCACAAATTTATCTGAAGCTACTTACTGATGAAGGCGATTTTAACACAGAGCTTTGGGGTGCTAAATGTACAAGACGAACGTACGAAAATATTCTACCAGTCCAGCGGCTAGTCTGTCGTTTTGTAAAAGGAAAGTATCAAGTAAAAGGACAAAAAACGTGGTTATACCCCTGCGTCGAAAATGTTCATTTCAACAATAGCAAATACTTGTTCAAGTAGTTAACAATTATCCTTGTATATCGGTACAAATTTGAGTAGTATATAAATGTACTTGTACTACAAACAAGTTGTCGCAAATAATATCAGTTTCTTCCTTCACTGTTATTTTCTTAACACTAATACTTGGAGAGCTATGAGAAATAGACGCAACAACAATACCGCTGAAATTACTCTTACTATTACGCAAGAAATGAGGGATTTGGTGAAAAAGAGAGACTTTGACGAGTTTGCAGTAACGCGAGTCAGATCAGCTTTTGAAAAAATAGAGGAAGATATTGAAGAGTTAAATAATAAACAAAAGTTTGGATTAAAGAAAATATTAATAGTGTTTTAGAGGCGTTCGATAGCTTCAATAAGATTAATAATAACGACAATTCATCATCGTCTTCTTCAAAGCTCTTCTTCACCGCCAAAAATCTTGTATACTGTGCTTACTAAAAAAATGAGTAGCATTCATAGGCGTGCAAAATTAATTGAAGAAGGTGTATTGCCTGACAATGCGTAACTGCTTGTCTACAATCTAAATTCGCGGTTTACTGATGACAAAAACGAACTTGTAACGGAGGCGTATGCGAAGGCAATGGGGGAAGAACATAAAATCCAGGATGAAGATGTGCGTAAGTACTGTAAAATGTTTTGTTCAGTAATTACTTAATCTAATGCGTTATTAGGTCGTAAGGGAGAGTTCTGCTTAAAACAATTTTTTGTTTCTTTATCAACGTTATGTTGCGAAGGGATTTTGGAATAGATATAATGTAAGGCAAATAGCACCGACGTATTTGCAACACTAAAACGTGCAGCGGGAAAATCAGGAGAGAAAATCAAAAACAAAGCAACGAGGAGCAGGCGAAACAAACGGTTAATAGATGTAAGTAATTTATTATTATTATATCCGCAAAATGTAAACATTTATTATACAGAAATAAAAAAAAAAATAATGGTGATGCTATCGATCGTCTAGAAGGAATTTAATGTTGTCCTGTAAGCGAAGTTAAGAAAGCATTCACAAATGAAGTTTGTTTACCTGAGATTAGTGGAGAGGTTAACCACCCACGTATACCTATACAAAGATTCATTTTTGTTTACGTTTTCGGTCAATAATTCACGATACGTTGGTTTGGAACTTATATAATTAATTTAATCACGTCCATAAAGAACGCCGTCATTGCCATTGATGGCGAACAGTCATGTTGAAGCTATGCCGCTAAATATACGTGTTCGAAGACTTTTGTAACACTGTATAATAATAAGATTTCGGTTCAGTATTCAAACTTAATTCATGATTCAATTTTATTTAATCCGTATAAGCAGAAATCTATTTCGAGCATGTATAATCTATATCGACATCAGTCTATTTCAGTTGGATATTACACTAATTTTTTTCGCACGTAGGCCAAGTATTTGGAATTTTAGTATCGCTACACGTGACCTGACGACGACCGTGATCATTACATAAAACAGGTACGACGGTGTCTCAGTATGTGGCTTTTGCTTATAAGAATTTGCATGAATATAATTAATTAAAAAAGACCAAACGGATTGACAATCGATAACGCGTACTTTTGTTTATTCGCAAAATAATTGACCACCGTTCTTTTTCTTTATGCAGTGTACGTGCTGCAATGAGTTCTGAAGTTGCCTGTGGCAAACGGTCACCTGAACTGGAAACAGGTCTAAGACTAGTGCGTTATTAGGAAATTATCATCTAATGTCTCAGAGGCTTGATGCCAACGAATTCCCTCCCATTAGAGTAATGATAAATGGCAACATAAAAACATATACTAATACTTCATGAATAACGTGACGGAACAAAACTTTTCACTATTGCCGTTCTGTCCATAACCATCTTACTGTTCCACATGTCATCAAATGGATTAACATAGGCTTTTAGTATCACACCCAGCTCTTTTCTAATCTCAGGAGAAAGACAGACAAATGGTGCCATTGAGAAGACAGCTAAGTGTTGGTCAGACTCATCTTGCTTCATCCACTCAGGCCGATGAAATCCTTCCCTCTTGTCACGCAGGGACCAATAGAAACACAGGTGCGGGAGTGATGGCAGCATTGCAAGATCCATTCCTCTGAATATATACTGTGGCTTCATCTTATAGGTTGAGTCTTTGGTGTAATCAGCACCTCCCCATGAAACATCTCTGTTCTTTACTGATATTGTAACATATGTGAATTGAGCATCCCGTTGTTTGAGTGGGATGAGAAGGTCAACACCAGGTTGGTTGAATTTCAGGATTGCAGCTGCACCCCGTCTAAACAGTCGTTCAAGTAATCTGCTGTCTGGAGTGTATTCTACCTGTATGAAATGGGTAAAGCATAGAATGGATTCCAGTAATAGTTTATCCAGTTTCAACTCTTTCCAAGAATCATTAGTTGTGACTAGGGCATCAAGATTGCCAAACAAGGCAGACAAGAACTCCTTGAGATATAATTCTCTTGTGTAAAGTCCATCTTTGCCCCGACTCTTTTGTATGCATTTTCGCCATGCAATGATTAGGATAAGCCTTGCAACAAGTTCACCACGGTGGCCGGCATCAACAAACCCACATTGAAATGATGCTGCAAACAGCTGAAGGACCTTCACTAGTGTTGCATCACTGTCTACAAGTCTAAAAGCAGCTTCAGCAAGGATAGGCTCAGATGGATACATCACAAGCATTTGGCTTCTGTCTTCTTTGATGGAAATACATGTAGCCATGTAGCTACTCACTAGCAGATGTGATAAATGTGGTTGTGGTGAAATATCCACAGAAATTAATACAGACATAATAGCAATGGCCATGGCCAACTGTTCATCAACTGCTTTAGCAGTAGAAAGGATACTCTGCAAATTAGTGCTCACAGTGCCTCCAAGTAGTTTTCTTTGTGCAGTTTCAACTGCCTTTTTAATTGACAAGCCAGAATTAAGCAGTGCAGCCCATAAGGCACGACCTAGGAAAAACCTGTCAGTTGGATTCTCCACTTGTCCTGTGAACAATGCATCCATTGTTGAAACATCAATGAATGGCGGAAGCAACTTAAGTGGCTTGGTAGTTAGGAGCCGTAGGGAAGGGTCACGTTCCTCAGTTGGTGCAAAATTGGACAGAGAACCAGCTGTATCTAACATGACACATATAAAGTTCTTCCATCCGATATCTTGCAAAGCACGTCGAATAATCCTGAATAGAGATCGTTCCTTTGCTTCATGGATTGTTGTGGTCAGGATGCGTGCCTCATCTAGACACAGCATAAATTTGAGCATGGGTACATCAGAGGTTATATATAGTTGCTCAAGAAGACTACCCATTGTTGGAGAACTTGTCTTGAGTGTACGTTGTAAGTTAGTTGTAACATTAGCCCAAAATTCACTCTCTTTGCTGGAATCCATCTGCATTTCCCAACATTCGGAAGGTGTCAGACCATCTTGAATCATGTGACCAAGTACAGCAACTGCACTTTCCAAAAACATCTCAAACCAGCTAATTTGTTGGAGGGGCATCTCCTCAAGAATCTTGGATGCAATGCTTGACCGAGGAGGATAGCCTGTGCTCTTTGGTGGCCGAAAGCACACATATAAAACATAGACATCTTGTGCAATCTCTGCAATGAGGCGGGACTTCCCATAGCCGGAGCTCTGAATTAGTGCAATATATGGGGAATAGCTACTGTCCTCATGACACTTTGACAAACAAAATTTGATGTGACTGTGAAAGTTGGCAATGAAATTCTGGCTGTTCACAAACTTGTACTTGAATGCATCTGCAACTAAAGCCTTGTCGCTTTCACTTTCACTTTCAGCACTATCTGTACGAGCCTTTTTTGCCTGATGCTCAGCCCCTTTCAACATAACCATAGAAGAAAGAGAAAAAAAGTAACTAGTTAGTAAACAGAATATCAAAGTAATGGATGAAAACAGTCAACATTTTAACTATTCTCCCTCCACATTGCTGTGCCTATTCTAACAGCATTCAAACTATTCTCCCTCTGTTGCTCCTATTCTATTTAACCCAAACGCATAAATAATATGTCCCTTGTTAGCCTAACTTTTACAACAACACTCTATTCCATACAACTCTGTTTATATCAGCCTTTTTTATACCAGTTTCGCCTTATACCAGTTCCAATTTCGCTGCACCAAGAGATTATATATTCATCTCACCCCTTATAACGGCTGAATTATATACCGGTCTCTCGTTATGACAAAAACCGCCAAACCACTCACGCCGGTATAGACAGAGTTGACTGTATACTCCTCCCAATGCGCGTGTTGTAATACATTCTAACTATTCTCCCTCTGTTGACCCCATGCTACTCTACTAATCCCGTAATGTCTCTACGACACAGCTCTGCCTCAACTAATAACGCCCAACTGCCTCTCTTGCAACATAGCACAAAACCAGTAACAGTATTCAAACTCTTCTCCCCGTCGCTCCTCTATCCTCCCAATAAACGTGTATTGCTTGCTTGCTTACCTTGCTTGGATTCATTATACTTTTGGATAACTTCGTCGTCATCAGCTTCGGGGCATCGTATCCAGTATTGACGAGCGAATCTGCTATATTCACGTAAGTCCATTTTGTCCATGTTTGTCCGATCTGTTAAAAAAGAAGATTACGCATTATGAATAGTGATAAAAGAAGAGTCGCGATCTGGCTCTGCGCCGCCAACTCAGCCCTGTTTATATGCTTTACTTACACAAACATGTGATACTTCTCCGCCGAATCAACTATAGTTGCCGGGTCCAGCAAACTTGGCAAAATAGTTCGGGAACCCTCCATGCCTTTGTCAGAGAAACAAAGACAAAGGGGAAAATCTCTTTTATACGCTTTTTTACATATCACGTTATGAACAATGTTGTATTGTATCCCGTGAGTATGCCCGCATACAATCGTAGAATCTATTATGTCACATGTTTGATAGATTTGTATGTAATATGTAAACTATTAAGAAACCATGTTCCCACAAATTGTGAAAGCATAAACCGAAATTAACTAACAATTAAACGCTGATGAGGGTTGATACTACATCCGAAATCATTTCAACCTCCCTCCTATATAGTCACTCTCCCCCAGGCAATCATACTATAGTCACAGCCCCCCTTGTGTCAAGACCAGTAACACCCACCTTTTCTTAAATTTTAAATGCACGTGTTATTATTATTAATCATATCATCTTTATAATATGGTGCAGGACCTCTATATCCGACAATTACGTGACCCGAAATATTGGGTATTTTTAAACTCCTAAAACTTTTTCCACAGATATTATTTTTAAATTTTGACCGGTAACTTTGTAGAGCTTACCGTGAAGAACAAAGTTACCGGTCAAAATTTAAAAATAATATCTGTGGAAAAAGTTTTAGGGTTTTAAAGTTCATAAGTTTAATCGAAAATTGAAACAACTACGTAATCGTATAAGTAGCATATACAGTCGTCCCCCTCGATAGTCACGCTGTCGGGAACAATGCAACTTTTGTTGGAAGTGTGCTTATAGAGAGGTTGTGACTATATAGAAGTTTTTTTCTATAAGTTTAATAGTAATTGGTTCTCAACATAGGGTGCTTATAAAGAGGTTTTTTATATGATGTGCTTATAGAGGGGTGACTATAGAGGGGGACGACTGTAATTGGTTAAAATTGGTAGATCGAACTAAATATATTATTATTATAGCTTTTCGAAGATGTTCGATTTGATTATGTTTAGACTGAGACTTAAATACTTCTGGTTTTAAAACTTTCCCAAAAACAACTCCAATTAGTTTACGATTAATTTTCCAGTAAAGAATTTCTGTTCCCTAAAATACGAACCACCGCGAAGCGAGGAGGCTTTGCCACCGGCGCGGAGTGCACTGCTCCGCAGAAAAAAAAAACTGAAAAGCAATTGATCTAGACTTTATGCACTTTTCCGGCTCCCTTTGGCAGCTCGCGTTGTAATAAAACCAATCTTGAGCACATTTCATAAATATGCCACCTGGCCGATAAAGCCATTCAAGTACTGCATTCTCGATTTTCCTAACTAAACTAATCCGTTTTTTCTATAGACGGAATGTTCGCTGGATGATAGTTGCTGCTCGATTTTTATGCATATATACAAAATAACTCACTTCTATTCTAAATGCAAAGGGTTTAGAGATAGGCTCCCCCTCGGGAACCTATTTTTTTTTATGCGAAATACAAATTTTGCCAATCATACTTATTTCGAATATCATATCCAGTTATTAATAAACGTCTACGTATATATTGGGTGGATGATATTTTGCGAACCGTAACCAAAAGCTTCTGGTATTTTTAAATTTTCGATATGCTTTAATCCATATCCAGTTAATCTGCTTCGGGCGTATTTGTTTTTTGCCCATTCCTTTGTAATATCGGTCATGTCTACTAAGTTGATAATCGGTTCTAGGTTATATTCTGTTAAGTTATATACTATGAAAATATTCTTTCAATTCTCCGCTGCGGGTAGCAACAAGGCTCATGTGTAGAATCCTAGCCATGGCACAAAAAAATGTTCGGATCACGTGGAAATGTTCGGGTCGGAACATCCGAGCTGGAAGCTGATGTGGTACTTGTAG